ATATGTCATTTTTTTATATCTTAGTGTCAATTTAAAACGACAACCAACCATTTTGAATTCTTGTGTAGCCAACCAACACGGACATGTTTTTCAATTATGTCAGGGTTAAAGGTTGAGGACCCGCCTCACCCGTCTTGCCCCAGGTTTTCTGTTGTTTATGTTCTCACCAATGGTTATTACCATCAACACTTTTATGGAGGATGCCATCAAATCCTTTTAAATTGGTCGTAAAATTAGTGCTGATTCTGTTGATTCCGTCATGACAAATGCCGAATTAAGCTGTCGTTTCACACAAATCAGATTTCACAACAGAAAGACCCCTAAAGGGCCTGTTCACCCAAATTACAATAAGGCATATTTTCATGTTTATTTCTAAGGGAATATCGCCATGTAGATAGTTTTACCTGTCCAACTTTTGAATGAGACATTTTTAAATTTTGGTCTCCACACCAATGAAATTAAGGTGTATGGAACTGTGTTTGTGGTGCTTAGAGCAAAATAATACAAATTTTTAACATTTTTCAAGGGCAATATGCTGCAGCAGCAGCAGAGTGCTGTAGGGATGATTTTTTTTGTAGGCTGACACAGAAGTTAGCGTTGTGTTCCCTCATCAAAAAGCCAATGGGATTGTACCAATTGGCTTTTCAGTAACTGCAGAAAATAAGCTCTGTGCAAATAAATGTTGATGATACTCATGTGTTTTGTTCAGCAAGATAATCTCAACAAATGAATCAAACTTTTATGAATTTTGAAGCCTAAATGTAATCACTATAAGTAAAAAGCCAATGTTAGGCTATAAAGGAACTACATCACCGTCACATGACTCAACGTTACCACCATAACAAGGCTGTAAAGCTGTGTTCAGCATGATTGTGCTCTGAAGTCTCGTGTTAGAAACCATCTTTTTTAAGACACATAAACAACCTGGTCTCATTCCTAAGTCGTTCAGTACCAGTGCTTGGGCTGTGATTTCCACGTCGGACACCAACATAAAAAGCCATCCTTTCGCATCTGCATGATACGTGGCCAGACCCGGTCAGTGTATAATTACACAGCCTGACAACAACGTAAGTTCAGGGAGGGAGAAAAGTCTGAGAAGGGTGGGCGGGAGGTGTGGTGGATGAGTCCAATAATCACCAACTTTAAGCTGAGAAGCTGGTATTTGTTTCCTGTAGGATTGTAAAGCCAAACCCTGTTATGTTTGTCTAAAGCTAACCATGTGCTCTTGTTGCCTAAACCTAACCATGTGCATGTGTTAGCTAAACACAACATGCATTTTTTGTTGAAGGAAAAAATGCCAATACGCTGTGTTGTACCAGAATAGTACCTTTATTTTGAAAGAGTTTGTATACAATTTTAGATATCCTATGAAAACGGAAGTGTATTTTGAAAAGACACAATGCACATAACAGGCTGAAGTTGATGCAGCGTCCCAGAACATCAACAACAGATGCACCCTGGGAATCTTGCGTGTCATATGTAGACATGGAAAGTCCACAACCTAGTGGCGATATGTGATGAGGTCAGAGTGAATGTGTTGATATAAAAGCTTCAAAGTTCACGAGTGGGGTATTACTGACCTATTTTATGTTGTAGAACAAAATGTGAAGGTCTCTTAAGACATCTTACCAAAAACCCATTCAAAAAATCCACTTGCCCTCAAGACGAGGGATCCAGAAGTGCTAAAATGCTAACTCGTTTCCGAGTTTTAGGACTCATTCCTGCACCACTCTATCCACTGACCTTAATTTGGAAAATTTTCCTTGGAACTTCTTTTGACCAAAAAAAACTGTCCCTATGAAAACTGTTGAAAGTTTGTTTAGCTGATTATCTAGAGTAACAGAGACACTGTGTCTTGAAATGAACATTGCTGTTTAATTTTTTAAATGTAATTTTTCCATGCTCTGGTCATCACTGTTGGAGAAATAAAACCAAAACTATTCACATGGCTAGGAACCATGAGTCATATGTGAGAAATATGTGTGGGGTTTTTTATGTAATTTTGGTGAACTACCCTTTACTTTTTTTTTCTTTTTTTTTAAAAACATATTAATGTGAAATTAGATAATTTATTATCACTCAGACACAAGCTGGCAGCACATATGTTTCTCACACGTTTTAAATGTTTAAGAAGGCGCTATATATTGCCAAGTGTGATATTTATGTTGTCACTGCATTAGCATGATGAATGCAGACACTTTTCATTAGAGACAAATGAAAGCTATTCTGACACAATTATGGCAAAAACAATAACAGCTCTGTGTGAGCCACTCCATGATTGATAATACTGCAGGGGGGATTCAGTGGTGCTGGGCTTAACCAGGCTTTCCCTGAGGGGTTTTCCCTTGGCATTAGTCAGACAAATCCCTTTGTCAACCTCTCCCCTTGCCATTTTTATTCATAAGCATTTGGCCCTAAGAAAGACATCAAACCAAGAATACAACGAGAGGTCAACATCGTCTTTGCGCAATGTTAACCTCTGCATTGATGAAGCTAATTCACATTTCCTCAGTCCAGCCTACGGGGGTTCATGAGAGGAGGGGGAGGAGGAGCAGAGGGAGGCAGCAGGGAGTGTGTGTGTGTGTGTGTGTGTGTGTGTGTGTGTGTGTATAAATTCATGCATGTGTGTGTGTGCTTGTGCCTCTCTGTGTGTCAGCGGCCACTTTGTAGTGAGTCTTCCTCTTGACCCGGGCCCCTCCACATGGGGTTTGCATTGATAGCGTTTGCTGAAAGGAGGGTAAAGTGAATGTTGTCCGAGCTCATTGGAATGACAATGGGGGCATATGGTTGTGTGTGTGTTGGGATATGGTCATGGCAGCCACCATATTCCTCTGTGCAGGGTTGCCAGGTGCTTCATGAACGGACCCACTGAGAGTTGACAAATCATACACAAATGCAACAGACTGGCTCGTGGCTCCTCTGCCCACCAGGGGGGTTCTCTGTTGCTGTCGTCCTCTTATTCTTTCTTTCACTGCTTTCTCCTCTCTACCATCAAAATTATACAACAAACCATAACAACTTAAAGGACAGCTGAAGTATGTTTTTTTTTTTAACTTGGACCCTATTTACCCATAGCTTTGTGTCTAAGTGACCACTTGGAATAGTCTTTTTTTGGTGGTCCAGTATTGAGTGAGAGTGCAGTAGCCAGCAGCTGCAAAATAATCATTCAGGGCATGTTTGCAATGTCAATTAACATCCACTAAAAGTGTTTGTTTTTGCCACCGACAGGCTCACATTGTTTGAAGTGTCTGACAACATTATGTAAAAGATCCCTGTAAAGGTAGAACTTCCTAATACAGAATAAATTAATTTTTGTTTCACCAGAAACAGCCCCAAAATCGCTATCGCCAAAGTCACCAGACTCTGTTTAAATAAATACTCATTTTAGAATCATAAAAAACACTTAATTCAAAGTTGGCATAAACAAAATAAAACTCATAAAAACCACCTTGGCTCCTCGTTTCACTCTTCCAACAATTACTAAATCTGGTTTGGCTGCAATAAACTATTGTTTCACTCAGTAAGTCTTGATGAGATGCTGCTTCTTTACACGCTAAAATTACTATTTATTTAAATGGAGTCTGGTGGAACTGGTGATGGTGATTTCGGGGCTGTTTCTGATTAAACAAAAAGGTCTTTCTCCATAGGGATCCTTTCCTAAATGGTGTCAGACACTTACAGTAATAATCTGAGCCTATCAGTGGCAAAAACAAACCCTTCATTTAAATAAATAATAATTTTAGTATGTTTTATAACTGGGTGAATTAAAGGTTTATTTAAACCAAACCAGAGTTGGTGATTGCTAGAACAGTGGAAAGAGGAAACAACACAGCTTTTATGAGTTTTGTGCATTTGAAAGTGTGTTTCACGATGATAAAATTGCTGTTTCTTTAAATGGAGTCTGGTGGCTTTGGCAATTTTGGTTCTGTTTCTGGTTAAACAAATACCATCTTCCTCTTTAACACAAAGGTCTATCTCTGTAGGGTTTCTTTCCATAATGTTGTCAGGCACATATTTATAATCTGAGTCTGTCTGTGACAACATAAAGCCTTTTAATGGACGTAAATCGACAATGTCAGCATGCCCCGAGTTGTTACATTGCAGCCAATACTTAACCAGTTTTTAAATATTGCTGTTCCTATTGGTCACGTAAACAAAAAAACACGAAAAAGGTCGACAAATACCTAAGTTAATTTTTCACAATTAAAACACTTGAGGTGACTGTCAAGCAGAGTCACCATTCATCATCTGTCCTCATCATCAGCGCCTCCTACTTTGAACATTGTTAAAAAAATAAAAGAGAACAAGAGAATGAAGATAACCTGATGTAGTAGCATCCCCTCCCACACAAAGCCACTTCTTCTGTCATGAATAGTCAGCTCCACCCTAATGACTATTCAATACAGTCTGCAGGCTGCAGATGAACGGCCAATCCACAGCAGCATCTGCTGCGGGCCTAACTCGCCAGACGCCAGCCTTGTAAGAGGGCCATTGCAGGCTAATTGAAAGACAGAGGCCATCTCTCAAAGACAATGTTTGTGTGTGTGTATGCGTGTGTGTGTGTGTGTGTGTGTGTGTGTGTGTGTGAGCTGGGAGGGGAGACCTGACAGAAAGAAGAGTGAGAGAAAGAAAAGAAAAGAGAGGAAAATAATTGACAAAGGATGGAGAGAATGAAGAAGAGGGAGCGAGGAGGAGAAAGAGAGACATTCCTCTCCTCACAGAGAGAACAGCTGACCTGTCAGCATTTGTTCCCATGCGGCCATATTGGAAAAGCCCTTATGGGCATTGAATTAACACAACCCAAACCCACTTTATGTAATTAGAGTGGCCTGGTGGTCTTATCTTATTTTAAATACATGTTTGAATTGTAAAAGCTGCGATTTGGTTTTAAAAAGCAGACACTAGACAAACCTCTGCACAGCTGATGATCCTAAATGATTACAGCTTGAGCTGATAAGATATCTCAGGTGGATCACAGGTTAGGAAATGTTGATAATTGCAGCCTGCAATAAACAGCAAGTAATGAGTAATAAAATCCAGTTTGATATAATTTTACATATGAGTAATCAACAGAAATGCAGCTGGTGTTTACACTTGTGAACGTGACAAATTGGATTTGCTGTTGTTTTTCACCTCAAGGTCTCTTTATCCTCTTTGCATCAAAAAAAAAAAAAAAAACAACAGCCTCCACAAACGAAAAACTAAAGGATTGCTGTCATAATTCTCCCCAGTTCTCCTCCGGCAGTTTTTATTGCCAAAGGCGGTGAATAATCTTTTCCACCCTGGCCATCCCAAATAACACAATCCTTCAGCACGGCTGCTTACTGTGTTATGGTGAAGTGTAGATGAGAAAGGAAGAACATTCAAATGAAGCACTATTTAGTGCTGCGCTGTGGCATTCATAGTGCAGAGGAGGGATTCATCAGCAGCCTGTGAATATAGAGAAGCAAAGGGGAAAACTGTTAACTGAGAGCAGTGACTCCTGAGCAGATTGTGAGAGGACGAGTGAAAACGAGGTGAAACACGTTTTCAGAGGCGGGTTAATGGTCAACACACTCGTATCCAATGGCCACATATGTGCCGTTTCAAAGTGTGCTTTCTGTAAATTAGGACTGCTTATGTTCAGGCTGCGCCAACAACAAGTGTACAGGCCCCAAACCACACCAGTATGATCAGGGGCGTGTAGCCAGTCTGTTACTGGTTGGCAGAGGAGTGTGAGAGGAGAAACTGCTCCACCAGGTATGACACAGTGAGCAGACCTCATGGGGTTCAGCTTCAGTTTTTGTTGTCATCAGGGGAGGGAAAAAAACGTGGGTGTCAACCTATTTATTGAGTGAATGAGTGCGTAGCAGTGAGAATATTGTGTATTACTTCAGCCACAGAGCCATGAAAGGTTCCTTTAAGGAGAGAGTAGCTCTGCATTATACACTCCCCATGGGGTAACTTCAGCACTTCTTGTATTTCTTGGGAGGCTGTGCACCTGTTTTTGCTTCTCCTTGCACGGGGATCATGTCATGACATGTTAATTTATTGAGTGTTGAGTTCGACTCAATTTCTCAGTTTCTTTTTATTTATTTGTGCAGTTTGTCTGGGCGAGCGGAAACTTTGAGCAGTTAGTTAAGCTTTTTATCTTACTGAAATGTATCTTTTACTATCAACCCTTATGAATGACAGCAATTTCTATTCAGTTTGGTGAGAGGCAGAGTGGAGTAGAGCCTTCATTTTTAAAGGGTTAGTTCACCCAAATAGAAATTGAATATATTTTAAATACATTTACAGTAGTTTTTCTGTTTTCTTCTGCTTTATATGGGGAGGAATATTATAGTTCTCACTCCACTGCATTTATGTGACAGCTGCAGTTGCCAATTGCTTTACAGATTAAGATTTTATAAACAAAACATATGATTAAATATAAAATATGAAGCATTTTTATGGAAAATTCACCCAACAAAGCTCTTAAACTGATCTCCACCTCAACTGGCACACAGAGTACTTTTATTTTTAATACTCTCTGTACAGTTTGCTGATGAAGCTACTTATATTCTTTTAGTTAAGAATATTTTTGAATGCAAGTTTGTACTATTTTTTGCATTATGGTATTTATACTTTTACTCAAGTAAATGATCTGTATACTTCTTCCCCTTACATGTTCACACCTATAGAGGCGTCCAGCCATGCTGATGGTTGTGGGTTTATCCTCTGAGGTTGTTTCAGAGATTTCTGCCTCTTTCTCAATACAATGGAGCTGAATGAAATTTTGTTTATGGTGCTCAAAATGTCAAGAAATAAATACATAAAACAGTCCCCGACCCTGATGTCACCCTGACCAGTTTTTACTGCTAATTCTATGGTCGAAAATTGCATGAAAATCAGAATCGCCTTTGTTTTTTCTGCATTTCTCTCGACGTTGACGTTAAAACATTGACAGGGCTATTATGTACACAGTTATGTGAAAGAATAGGTGTCTATGTAAATATTATATATATATATATATATATACACATATATGTGTGTGTGTGTGTGTGTGTGTGTGTGTGTGAACAAATAAAAAATTAAAAGTCTATATAAGTCTTCTGTAAGCTGTAAACTATTCTTTGCACAGTTGGTGCAAAGAAATAGACTGGATGATTACGCAACCTGAAGCATGTGCATGTCTACACGTTTATATGCAGAATTTAGATTGGCAGTGAAAGATGATATGTACAGTAAAATTATAATAATAGCAGTGATAATAACAGGCAGATGCATTTGCCAGAGCACTATTTAAACTGTTCATCAATGTTTAAGCTAATTTAATAAGACAAAAGTTATGTTTTGCCTCTGCTAAAGCAAGCTAAACAGTAGCCACTGTAGCCACAAGTCACAATTATGAGATGATGATAAACGCTAAATGATATCACTACTGATTTTTGCCACTAACATTAGCCACCGTAAGCTACTGATCGTACCAGACCAAGTGAGGCTGCAGCAGCAAAACCCCTGAGTCTGTTAAATTGAGCAGGAGTGTGTTTTATTGCTTATGAGTTCAACTTTTCATTGGTAAGAAGGAGAATGTGTCACTTCTTCTTTCAAAAGTCACGTAGCCTCGCTTTAAAGCATTTTTGTTGCACTCAGTTGCTGGGTGCCATTGTTTTGCCATTATTGTTTTAATTGTAATTATGGTCTTGAGTCAATAAAGATCTGAATCTGAATCTCTCAGAGGTGAATATCTGGTCACATAAACGCACGGCTGCATGACTAGATACCACTAAAGGTAAATGAGAGACTTATTTATTATGATTTGGTTGAACTAACCCTTTAACAAGACCCCAGTGAAAGTCACAGCGAAGAGCTCCCAGCCCTGGAGAATACGGTCTGCTTGGCGGCACAGTGCAGTCCACGTGTATCACAGTGATAATGGTGCTGCTTATGATGCGCTGCTCCAGCAGCAGCACTGGCACTGCACTGCACTGCGAGGCAGGAGAAGCCGGGCCGTCAGGGATTTGTCAGGGGCCTGTTATTACATCTCTAGTCACATAAAATATGGCTGCCTCTCCAGAGATCCCACTGCTAGATAAATCCACTCTCCTCCAACCAGACTGGCCCTCGCGACGAAACCATCCAATGGTGTACCTCAGCCAGTGACCTCTGGTAATGACGTGTGATTTATACAGTACATGTTTTAAACTGAGAGACACATCCGAGCCAGGCTATCTCTCCCCTCTCTCTGTATCTATATCTGGTGTCATGTGAGATAACAGGCAGGCCTTTGGGAGAAGGGAGACATGACACCCATCTTTGGGGTCTCACAAAATGGCTACAATGTGGATAGTTTCCCCTGCAGCTGTCTAATCGCAGTCTAAGCCTGCAGTGAATGCTGTGTCTCCTCCTGCATGAGGTCACTAACACATATTGCAGGGTGGCCACTTTAAGCTAACAGACCGCAGTGTGGAAGGCCTAAATCAACACCTGGTTGGGAAGAAAAGGGGCTCTTGTGTTCTGTAAATGCTTTTAAGTGGCAGATTACAGGAGTGTTGTGAAAATATTCTACATTAACACTACTGGATTATGAATAACGACAGCTTTTGTGGGTTTATTCCAAATATAAAATTAATACACGTCCATCAAAATAAGGAAAAAACACCCCACCCCACCTCCCAGAGCAAAAACTACACCAGGAGATGTTAGTGTACGAGCAAATAGTGTATCAGAGAGTCATCTTGCAGACAGTCAGTGATGTGGTGTGTACTGTCCCCTGCCAGGGAACGTCCCCTGTACAGTCTAGTAGCTTAAGAGATTAAGTTCCGTGGCTAAAGGAGAGCTGAGAGGCAGGCCCGTGTCGTTGACCTTGGCAAGCCGGACGCAGAGATGATGACACACCACTACAAATATCAGTCTTTAATAAACAGGCACTGAACACCAGGATCACATCAGCTGGCTGGAGACACACACACGCGTTTGATTTTTTTATCTTATTTTAACATTTTAAAATGTATGTTCTCACAGTGGAACAAGCTGCGTTACATTAAATGTATTTTATAGTTTGGTTATTTAAAATATTTGCCAAATAATAATATCATATTATCATTAATTTATTTATTTCTAATAATGCTTTATTATGTTATAAATATGTGTGTATAATGAAAGTACCTGTTTGTTAGAATCAGTTAGGTAGCCTATATACAATACTAGTGCTTTGTTAATTTACTGTTTATTTGTTTTTGGTTTTTGCTGTTGTTATTTATCATTTCACATTTTTTTCCCATCCAGCTTAATTTTGTTTGCCCTCATAAAAACAAATTAAACTCTTTTTAAATAGCAGTTTTAGTCTGGTTTCTTAAACTTGCCTGCTTTTTTAAATTATTTTAGGTATATTTTTCTTTTTATTTGTAAACCTTGATGCCTTTTTTTTGAAAATGGTTTTGTGGAGAAAAAAAAGGGAGGTTAAAAGAAACCCTGCAAATGTGAGGGAGACGTGTTCAGACGTTTTAGGCTATATTTCAACACAACATCCAAAGAACAGTTACCTCTGAAATCAGATCTCACCCCCCACCAGCAGCACATATAAACTGCCCGCCTGCTTTTCTCCCCCCTTTTATAACCTGATTAAGTTTAACTGGACAACTTGAGAAGCCTTTGGCAAACTGACGGACAAAGATCTATATTAATACTATTTTTTCATATTTAAAAATGAAAAAATAAATGAACATTTGATTAAAAAAAAAAAAGTTTTCTTTTTTCCTGTTATTTCCAGTCCTGTCTCTCCACTGAAACTGAACCCTGTATATAATGTTACAACTAAATGGCCTAAGTAACAAGCTATGTGACACCAATGGGCAAGCCTTGGCTGATTAAATGCAGCCATCTAATGTTTCAAAAAATAATATAGGAAAATACTGCAAAAAAAAAAAAGAATAAATAAATACATAAAATAAAATAAAATAAAATTAAAAAATTAATACAGTTAAATAAAAACAACTAACTAGGCTCAAGACAAATATTAAATTGCAAACCATGCATTTACCTTGTATCCTTATCCCCCCGCCCCCTCATCATCATCATCATCATCATCACCATCATCATCCCTGTTGATGTTTAATTTGTACTCGCGCATCCATCAGTGTCGTGACAAGAAGCTATTCAGTGCAATATTTACTCAAAGCATCCTGAGCAGGAATTATTAATCTAAATAAAAATAATATCCTAAATAACAGCATTAATATTTTAGCATCAATGACAACAAACATAAATAATCATAGTAATATTAATAATAACAATAGACAAACAATAATGATGATCCTTGTCTCACAATTTCCCTTTTATGCAATAAAATTATCAGCAACTTTGTTAGAGATGAAATCAAAATTGAAATGTCACAAATTAAAAAAAAAAACTACCCCTTTCTGTCATTTGATCCGCATTTAATTGTTTTCAGATTTGATGGGGAGCAA